GGTCGGGTCAGGTATGGGCAACGGAATTATTAACAGGAATGTGTCTTGGCTTTAGGGTTAGGGTCGAGTCAGGTATGGGCAACGCAAATGGCAAACACCCAATTGGCAAGATGTACACTAACGGGTTATGGCATGCATATAGTTTACACAAGTAAAAACACAAAATTGGCAATTTTTTGGACAATTGTAACTCAATAGTAGAAATATGTTCTATTTCTATATATATACATACTATATAGTCTTATCAAATGCAAACACATCCAGTCAATCAATTGTGGTCTTGTGGTTCAGTTGTCTACACAGTGATCAGGAGGACCCGGGTTCAATTCCCATGCCTGCTAGTCTTTTTTCGCAAACACTAATTTGCAATAAAGCTAAATATGAAAACAAAATCATTCATTTGCATGACTACCCATATGGTTCAGTGGCTATGTACAATGTAGGCAATGTAGTACGGTTAGTACGATTTTGAATGCTAGTGAAAACGTTGATCCTATAAGTAGGACTTAAATCCTATCATTTGTGTGAAGACACTCGTGGTACAGTGGACAAGACAGTGCGCTGGGAACTCAAAGATTGCAAGTTCGAATCAAGGACAGGACAGGACACTCCTACAAGACAAGATATGAAAGAGAAAAAAAACATTAACAGCAACTTCTGTATATCAAGAACTCAAGTCAGAAAAACAGAACACAAGAAACTCATATGGAAGCGACTCGGAGTACGAACACAGTTGACAGCTGCAGGTCACGTGCAACAACAGACACAAGGATCAATGCTGCTCTCCAAATGGGTCCCTTCTTTTGTATTGACCCCCTAAGGATTGCTAATCCCCCTTTCTAACTCTTCCCCCAAAATAATATATCGCCCCTTTTAGAATGTATTGACCCACAAATTAATGAATATTCATGAGCACAGAAACTGCTACGTCATGAATAAATTAGCATAATTTAAAAAAAAATTGCATAAAGTGTAGGTACTCCTTCTGGAGTCCTGCCAAACTATCTTATGATTAAATTTAACTGATTTTGGTGCAAATTTATGTGTAAACTTGTTTAATGTGGATTATGGTACTTTATTTTTTCTGGAATGTATTTTTACACTGAAAATCATAAATTGGGTTGACACATGTAATTATTTTCACTGATTTTCTATTATGTCAAGTAAACAGTTGTTCACTGCATTATATTTATTCAGCGAAATGAAAAAAAGAGTATTTTACACATCACTGGAGGACAAATTTAACTTGTGAGGGTGGTATGACACTACAAAAATGTGCCTCTGTTTAACTAGTGAGGGCAATGTAACTACAATACAGATATTGATTGCCTCTCCATTTAGCTCTCATGAGAGCGCTATGACTCTACTGTAAAATACTTTATTTTTCGCTTGCAACTTATTTTCGCTGAAGGAATGATTCAGTTAAAATAAAATCCAGCGAATATACCTTTTGTATATAACATTCAATTCATCAAAAATCAGTGAAAATAAATTCCATACAAAACGCCCAAAAAGTCTTTTCAGTGAAAATTAATTCCAGCTGAAATAAAGTATTTTTACAGTAGTTGCCTGCCTCCTTACTCCTCGTGTTAAGACTTGTTTGTAAAATTTACAGAGAATTGGGTGAGAGAGTTAAATAAGTGGTGTCCGTCACTTGAAGTTCTACAATATTATGGTTCACAAGATGAAAGAAAAGCATTCCGATACCATATCTTGTCAGGCAGACTCAACTTTCAAGTGATGATATCAACGTGAGTATTTTATCATGCTTTTCATGAACGTACAAATACTGTATTTTCCTGTATTTAGAAGCCAAAAGGATTTGTTTAGATTGTACAGGTTACACATCTAGACAATTACTTTCTACATGTAATTTATAGTGGATAAAATTTGGTAAAAAAAAAAGTCATTGTCCTATGTAACTATTTATAGCAATGACTGTTGTCTATAGCATTCAAGACAATGTTTAAACAGACAGGCAGAACATAATAATAATAATTTTATTCAACTCGAAAAACATACTACAGAAGTTGTTTTTATGGTTGTGTAAACAAAAGAAAAACAACAAAAATTGAAAAAGAAATAAAAACAAGATTAAACTAAAAACTACGTATAAACAAAAATATATTACTTTAAGGACGAATATTAGCTATATAAAGCACTAATACTACTTAATTTGGTCGAGCTGTTACATGTATAATTCATCTCTGATTTTCATAAGAACACACATTACAACTAAAAAATGGAATCACTAAATGATTCCACAATAGAACTATGTATACTAGGTAGTAATCACAGGGAAGCATTTGAACAGTTTATTATTTCCTTGTGGTTCTTTAGTTCCAATGTGTGATATAGTTTCCTCCTTGAAACAGTGTTGAACCAGTGTAGAGTTAGAGTTACCCATGTTTATTACCCCCGGTACATGAAATGCAATAAACAGCATTACTTGTACATGTAAGTATATGTGCTGCTTGTAGAGTAAAATGTAACCTGTCGTTGATGTCAGCATTTTATTTCTCTATCCTGGTTCCAATAATGTCACTATCATGGATTCTTTGATACAGAAAAGTAATTGAAAGTGGAAACGGGGAAAATTAATACTTGCTCGATGTTGTTACTCTTATTGAAAAAAAAGCTGAGAAGCTTGCGTGAAGTATAGGAGATACAGTCGTTATACTGTCTGTCTGTCTGTCTGTCTGTCTGTCTGTCTGTCTGTCTGTCTGTCTGTCTGTTTGTTCTTGACATTTGCTCACGTTCGGTCTAAAGTTTGAACGTGTTGATTTTAGTAACACAGCTTGGCCATTAAAGGTTAAAATTGAATATATATTTAATTGAATTCAAAACTGTTTTAAAGAATAAGAATGAACTTGATTGAATATTTATAATTGCATTGATGTCAGTGCTGGAAGTAGCATGATTGACATCTAACCTTATTCACTTTCTTGTTTTACAGTTACAACATGTGTATGAATATGACAGAAGACAAAAATCTTTTCAAAAAACTTGACTTTCATTATATGATAATTGACGAAGCACACATGTTGAAGAACATGAATTCACTGAGATATAAAAATATGATGAAGATAAGGGTAAGATAGAATTCAAGGTCGGTAGTTGTCGTGCCGCGCATGTGCGACATTTGTGTTGATAAACATGCGCTTTTCTAATGGGAATCACAAGTATGAGGTTTAACCTGGCGTGACTTGCACTAATTACCGCCGGTGACTCCTTCGATACCTTCCAATCACCTAAAAAATACCTAATTAAAAGCTCAGTAACGTCTCAGTTTGTACTCGGTTATCTTCGCAACAGCCAAAGTCGCCATCTTTGTTTATATGAGACCCATATATCTCGCGCATGCGTGGCGCAACGATTACCACCCTACCAATTCTGCAGACCAGATCAAGTTATTCATTTTGTGAAATTGATCCCTAGAGGGCAGTGTGCAAGACAGTCAGTGTGAATGTATTATTTATGATGAATGCATAATATTCCTGTAAAACATGCATCCAGCAGTCAATGTAGATACAACAAAGTATGCACATTATGAGTTTCTGCATTTGGGAAACTGATAATTGTAGTGTTCAACCAGGACATAAAATACACTCTTAAGGGAGAGTAGGAAATCACACGGGCGGTGCACCGCGGTCATTGCTGCGTGTATGGTAGGCTCGCACAGCAATTCACACTTATTGTCAAGACCACGATCACAAAGTTCCAATGAAAAATTAAATAAATTTGGCGAAAAGCTTGGAAACTAGTCTATAATAGTTGGCAGAATAACACTATTTTATTTGTCTGAGCCTTGGAATGAAATCACAAAGCAATCCAGAAAGACGTAGAGATTATAATATAAAATAGGATCACATTATTTTGTGAATATACATAATGCATGATCTCAAAAAATGTTTAGAAAGTTTAATGTTTCGCGTAGACCAAATATAATTGTTTTAATACATATACTGCAGTCTATATTTTGAGCGATTGAAACATAGAAAACTCAACTGCGTGAAATACTGTCGCTAAGTTTATGCTCGCTTATTTCACCTTCAGGGAAATAATGCTAAATAATGCTTGTGGATGAGCAGAACTTATAGGTCATGTCCACAGCACTAAGAATGTAATGTAATTAACAGACAAGATCAATTTGAAATGTTGACTTTGTCAGTGTTTCTCAGAAATCCCATTGCCCATTGCCCATTGTATATTTGTTTGAATTTTGTGTGCATGCCTGGCAACTGGTTGGCAAGAACCGATCGATCACACCAAAAAATAAAATACAAGCAGTGTCATTGTTATTCAATATACCTGTATGTGTCCCTGTTAATAAAACTGCAAATCACTAGCTACTGCTTATCAGTGAGCTACATTTGCTATCAAACAATTTGATCTATTTGAGTGTTGAAATGACGCTTGTTCTTGAAAGCAATATTATTCATTGTTTTACATGTGTACTATGAGTTTAAGTTCTATGATTTGTCTTTCAGGCAAAGAGGAGACTATTATTAACAGGCACACCGCTGCAGAATAATTTATTAGAGTTGATGTCTTTGTTATGTTTTATAATGCCACATATATTCATGAGAGGTGGAAGTACAGATCACTTGAAAAGAATGTTTGCTGCAGTAAGTATGCACAATAATATTCAGTCAGGAAATGATGCAGTGCCCTCTATGGTCCTTTTGTGTCAATGTTTTTTTTTAGCTCCGCTGTCGACTTTGTTGAGCGGAGCTTATCATATGAGTGATTGTCCTCCGTATTCGGCGTCCGTGTCAATGTTTTACTTTTTCGACTTCTTCTTGAAAACTACAAGCCTGAATGCTTTGAAACGTGGTGTATAAGTACCTTGGGTAGGCCTATCTTAGATTTGTTCATTTCATGATGACATCTTCAATTCTTTAATTTTGGTGAAAATTTTTGTCATTTTTGATAAAAAGTGATATTTTTGAATTCTTGTTGAAAACAGCAAGTCCGATTGCTTTGATACTATACATATTATTCATTTCTAATCATATCTTCAGTTCTTTAATTGAAATGTGCATTGCTAACAGCGGAGCTATCTCAGCTGACAGGCTGCTTGTTTGTTTTTTTGGCTTTTGATTAAAAAATTCATTCTTTATTTCTGCATGTCTGTCATGCATTTCTATCTTGAATTGTGAAATTTTTCTTTAATTTCATTTCACACCATACCTCATCAGTTTAATTGGTTCATCTCGTGCTAGGACAGTTTTTTTCACTGCTGGAGATTATACTATTGCAAGTACAGTACTACTAACCAGAGTTTAATGATCAATTATGCTTGATATTTCAGCTCTGACATTGTTTTCTTTGTAATTACAGAAATATAGCAGTGACAGCGCTGAACAGAGTAATTTTGAGAAAGACAGAATAGGTGACGCTAAGAAGATTATGCAACCATTTGTACTGAGGAGAATAAAAACTGAGGTGATTATTATTGGTTGTCTTCCTTTACTCTGCATTATAAGTCCCTGTTTTATCCCGAAAATTTGCAATTATTCATTTGCTGTTCAATATCACCCAGAATTCCATACTGGATGATGAGTCGATTTGTTGTGAGACAGTGTGCGAGATATTTAACCCTTATCTTGTCAAGTCAGTGTAAAAGTACATGTGGCTGGCTGGATACGGGTTGAATTGACGAATTGAGAGTGGAATGCCTAGTTTGGCGTGTTTTACCTCCAAAATCATAGAATGCTGCAACTCGGAATACAACTTATTGCATAAATCAATTTAAAGTTTGTTTATATTTCATTTTAACTCCTCCACAACACCGAAAATGTTGCATGATTTATTTAACCCATACAGAATGGTTCAGAGCTGATGGTACACAAAAGAGTAATATAACCTAATGTTTAAAAGGTGGCAGGCGTGCCGCGTTCTGTTCGATATGAGACTTATAGCCACGTATACAACACGTGTAAAATACATTGTTTATTTGCATGAAATTCGAATACGGGCTGCGGGACGACCACCGCGATTTAATGAAGTAGAGTAATGATATAATGCAATGTCCAAATATGGATAATGGTGTGTTATATTACATATTTGAACTTAAATTTTATTTCCTCTCACTTTTCACCAGGTACTTAATCAGCTACCAAAGAAGCATGATTGCATTCATAGGTGTTCCTTATCTGACAGTCAACGCAAGCAATACACCAATCTGGTTGCCGTATTGACCAAGTCATTACGTAGTAAAACAGAATCTGGCAATCTCGCTGGTGCTATGATGCAGCTACGAAAGATGGCCAATCATTCCCTGCTACATAGGCACCACTTTAATGATGGAAAACTTAGAAAAATGTCAAAACTTATGCTAAAGGTAAAGAATCACAGTATAAAAATACTTGCATGTGTAATGTTCACCAAGAACAGACTAATTGCACTCACATATTTGGAGTATAAGCTGATGTAAAACTGCAATAGTTATTGTAAATGACCTTTTTTTTTCTCTCTCACTCTCCTCATTTACTGTAAAGGCACTAATTATTCATTGGGTTTTAATTTCACTAATTTTATTCGCTTTATTAAATTTGCTTGAAGTTAAAATCCAGTGAATATGCACAAAATATCAAAATAGTGAAATTTAATACCAGTGAAATGAATGGTTTTACAGGACTTGCTTTTCATCATTCTTGTACAAATGTTAAAATATGTACTTGAAATGATTCATTCTTGCATATGTGAGAAACCACTATATAGAATTTGTTTTGTTCTCGAATATGTGAGTACGGTAATTTTCTCACTATTCTCGAAAACGACTGTACTTACATTATGGGGGAGTAAACTAAATTAGATCCAATGGTCACATAAAAAAATTATTTGTCATTATTCCACCAGACTTCATATTGCCAGGCATATTCAGTGTTTTAAATTCACTGTTTGTGGAGGAAACGATAAAGTTTTAATTGAGCGAAATTAAGCCACGGGCAAAGAAAAAAAAATAAACATGAATAATTGAGCCCATTTTATATTACACAAGAATTTACCCAGAATGCCGTTTTACTATTGCAGGAACCAACCCACCACGATGCAAGTGATGAGCTTATATTTGAAGATATGTGCGTAATGTCTGACTTTGAACTTCATGGGTTGTGCAATCAGTACTATTCTATCAGCTCTTTTACATTGCCGACAGAAACTCTTCTTAACTCAGGAAAATTTTATAAACTTGATAGTCTGCTGCCGGAGATGAAGCAAAGGGTGAGCAATGTGATTGTTTATTTTATGCTATGACACTTTGGTTGTGTGATTTAGGTGTTTATACAGTTAACATTTAATTGTATCTTCTTTGAGATTTTGATATAATAGTTCAATAACCATTTGAGCAACAAAGTCATCTTTTGTCACCATTCACAAAATAGTTCTATATACCGTCTGTGCATATTAATTAGGTAATTTGCATATCATTGACCATTTGAGCACCAAAGTAAACTTTTGTCACTATTCACAAAATAGTTCTATATATCATATGTGCATATTAATTAGGTAATTTGCCTATCATTAACCATTTGAGCACCAAAATCAACTTTTGTCACCATTCACGAAATAGTTCTATATACCATATGTGCATATTAATTAGGTAATTTGCATATCATTAACAATTTGAGCACCAAAGTCAACTTTTGTCACCACTCACAAAATAGTTCTATATACCGTATGCGCATATTAATTAGGTAATTTGCATATCATTAACAATTTGAGCACCAAAGTCAACTTTTGTCACCACTCACAAAATAGTTCTATATACCGTATGTGCATATTAATTAGGTAATTTGCATATCATTAACAATTTGAGCACCAAAGTCAACTTTTGTCACTATTCACAAAATAGTTCTATATACTGTCTATGCATATTAATTAGGTAATTTGCATATCATTAACAATTTGAGCACCAAAGTCAACTTTTGTCACCATTCACAAAATAGTTCTATATACCGTCTGTGCATATTAATTAGGTAATTTACATATCATTAAACATTTAAGCACCAAAATCAACTTTTGTCACCATTCACAAAATAGTTCTATATACCGTATGTGCATATTAATTAGGCAATTTGCATATCATTAACCATTCGAGCACCAAAGTCAACTTTTGTCACCATTCACAAAATAGTTCTATATACCGTCTGTGCATATTAATTAGGTAATTTACATATCATTAAACATTTAAGCACCAAAGTCAACTTTTGTCACTATTCACAAAATAGTTCTATATACCGTATGTGCATATTCATTGGGTAATTTGCATATCATTAACCATTCGAGCACCTAGGTCAACTTTTGTCACCATTCACAAAATAGTTCTATATACCATCTGTTCATATTAATTAGGAAATTTGCATATCATTAACCATTTGAGCACCAAAGTCAACTTTTGTCACCATTCACAAAATAGTTCTATATACCGTCTGTGCATATTAATTAGGTAATTTGCATATCATTAACAATTTGAGCACCAAAGTCAACTTTTGTCACCAGTCACAAAATAGTTCTATATACCATCTGTGCATATTCATTGGGTAATTTGCATATCATTGACCATTTGAGTGCCAAAGTCAACTTTTGTCACCATTCACAAAATAGTTCTATATACCATCTGTGTATATTAATTAGGTAATTTGCATATCATTAACCATTCGAGCACCTAGGTCAACTTTTGTCACCATTCACAAAATAGTTCTATATACCGTATGTGCATATCACTAACCCTCTGAGCACCAAAGTCAACTTTTGTCACCATTCACAAAATAGTTCTATATATCGTATGTGCATATTAATTAGGTAATTTGCATATCAATAACCCTCTGAGCACCAAAGTCAACTTTTGTCACCATTCACAAAATAGTTCTATATATCGTCTGTGCATATTAATTAGGTAATTTGTATATCATTAACCATTCGAGCACCAAAGTCAACTTTTGTCACCATTCACAAAATAGTTCTATATACCATATGTACATATTAATTAGGTAATTTGCATCTCATTAACCCTTTGAGCACCAAAGTCAACTTTTGTCACCATTCACAAAATAGTTCTATATACCATATGTGCATACTAATTAGGTAATTTGCATATCATTAACCATTCGAGCACCTAGGTCAACTTTTGTCACCATTCACAAAATAGTTCTATATACCGTCTGTGCATATTCATTGGGTATATTTGCATATTTTTACCCAAATTTTGATCAAGACTATTAGATTGTTAGTTTGATAATTTGATAATTATGAGGACTTGCATTTCAGGCATGTAACTAATGTAACTGTACTATTGTGTTGTGTTGACAGGGGGACAGAGTATTGCTGTTCAGTCAGTTCACCATGATGTTAGATATCATTGAAGTCTATATGCAGTATCATAAACACAAGTATTTAAGGCTTGATGGGCAGACACCGGTACAAGAAAGGTATTTTTCCTTTGATTTGACGATATTATTGATGCAGAAAATTGAATTACTAGTCTCAATAGAATGATAACAGTATAGTAAATCACTGATGTGTATTTATTTAACAGGTTACAACTTATTGACAAGTATAACAATGACAATGGTATATTTGTCTTCTTGCTGTCTACAAAAGCTGGCGGCTTGGGTATCAACTTGACATCAGCCAACGTGGTAATCATACATGATATTGATTTCAACCCGTATAATGATAAACAAGCTGAAGATCGATGTCATAGGGTAGGACAGACAAGGTATGATGAAAGCGCAATCTTTACTTCATTTTCACAACTTTACTTTACGTTTACTTTGTTGTTCCTCTGAAAATTGTGATGCGATGTGTCTCTTGGTCCACTCATAAAAAGCAGCCATTGACTGATCGCAATTACACTTTGCAACTACATTATACATTATGTAATGATAATTTGTTCCATGTTCTGATTCAAAATAACTGACTCATTTCAGTTTTTTTTACTATTTACCTAACAGGAACTGTCATGATATGACTTGATTTGATTTGCATCTTTTACGCAATCAAGCCTTAATAGTTGACAACTGTTAGCTAGGTTACATGTCATAACATTAAACACACATATAAATGTCTTCGAACCAAGCAGCTGATCTTGAGTCTAACAACATGTACAGGTCGATATAGCAACCTAAACTGCCTGGAAATTTGATACATATTGTGAGCACCTACTATGAAATGTATTGGCGTTTAAGTGCCGTTTTTATTTACATTAATTACGTCAATGTAAGTGTTTCATTACCCCCGTGCTGATATTGCAAGAAGGTTTAAGTCCCCTTATGTCGGCATAACATGTTCACACCTGTTTTTCTCTTAACCTTAAGTTACAACACCTTGAAAGAACATGCTTATAGTGTGTAAAGTATACACTTGCAGTGTAAGGAAACCATGGTGCATTGGAGTACTGTTTAATTCAATATTTGTGTTCACCTTTGCCTATCTGTGAATTGATAATCTAAACTGTCTAGAAGGTAGCATGGTATTGTGCGCGATGTGTGTACGCGTTATGTTTTGCAGTATATCTTTCAGTAACAATTTTATTTTCTCTTCAGGGATGTTACAGTGATCAGATTAATTTGTGAAAACACAATAGAAGAAGCAATGCTCAAATGTGCAATGGGAAAATTAAAACTTGAAGCTGATATCACAGCAGGTATGTAGTGTGGTGTAGTGTAGGCCAGGAGTAATGTGACCATAGTGGGGGGTGTATTTATAGTTATTTTCAACGGGGAAACACTATGCTCTTGTGAAGATCTTCTCATAATGTCTGTTTTAAATGCTTCACTTCATTCGTAATGTTGTGTTCTGAAAACATTTTTATAGTTTTATTATCAGAAAACATTGCCCACTGCAACTGATCAACTGTGAGCGATGTTTCAGCACTTAGGCGTTTTTTTTTTTTTTTTTTGGTGCCTCAAAAGCAACTACTGTAAAAACTAATGCAGTAGTAAAAATAATCGTTTTTTCAAGAGTGCAAATTAAGAATACAAATCAGCATGGCAGGTTTAGCAAGAATTTGACAGACACACATCTAAGATGAACATACAATAATCCAGGTTCTTTTGTTTTTGCCCCAAAAAATATATATTGCAAGTTCGTTATTAGACTGATTTAGATGCAATCAGAAAATCAAAATTACGCAACAGAGCTTTGTAGATCTGGCTAGCGTGTACCGACATATAGTCAAGCAGCTGAACAATCAAAGAATGAATTTCAAGTATTGGGTCACTCATGGCATCCACATATCATGACGCCAAAGTCATGCTGTCAGCTTGAACATATTTTCCTGCCATTAACTCAGACCATCCGATATTTTACATGTACCACAACACCCCAAAATTAGGAATCATCTCTGATTTCAGTTTATCATTCCTCCTATCTACAGATGATGGTGATGATGAAAATGCAACCGATATGGCCTCTTTGCTGAGAGACTCTTTGGAACTTTGATGCGATGCAATCTTGGCAACTTTAAAGGAATGGCTCCCACAAATTAATAGATGTAGATTGCTCATGCTTTCTTTGATGCAACAAGCAAACAAAGCCTCCGTTCGTTATCATCGATACATTTTAATTATGCACACCTTTCTTACCTTGATAAATGATACCACATTAGGATAACTAGTGATGTGTATTTTTTATTTCAGGTAGATAAACTGCATTTTGTGTTATTTAAAGACCAACTGCCTGTACAGCAAATAGCGTAATATATATAGTCATGATGAATAAATTGAAAACTGGAGATATATTTAAATGGTCATTTCCATGAGTTCCATATGTGTTGTGAATTTATTACAACCTCAGAAAACATCACATTGCAAGGTTTTATTTCTTGCTCGGACTCCTATTTAATATTTTATCAGTCCTCTCGAAACATAAAAGTCGTAGTGTATCAACAACGTCATGTTTCAATCTTTCCTTTACTTTCAAATCGCTTATTGCTTTCAAACATACTGTTATAGCATCACGGTTTTCACAAATCACACCACAAAGCATTGTCACATTATTCATTAAGATGTGAAAGTGTGTGTAAAATGAAGCAATAGTGATTATTTTTTATATTTGAGTCACTTGTGGTTGACATTCATTCAGCTTTGGGGCTAATCTGCACTGGCTCAGAAGGTTGTAAATGATTAGCTAGTTTGAATTTCTAATTTGCATAACATTACTGAGAATGAACGTGCATTCAACGCCACAAGTCTTTTGTTTTTTTAGCCATTCAGAATTCATCTTCCGAGCCAGTGCAGATCAGCAGCAGCTTTTGGTCGCATTCTCAGTTGTGTACATAATTTTTACCTGCTAGTTGATTCACTGACAACTGTTCATATCGCAGTAAATCATAAGACATCTAGCACCAAGTGCAACATCCTATCGTATTCAGCATAATTTATATTTATATACAAGTATATTGAATCATATTTTACGTGATTTATTATTGTTTGTTTGTTTCTTGTTTACTCCATCAGGTGTGTAATTTAATTCTGTAGTCATTCATGGTTCATACAATCTCAATGGTGAACTTTTTTTGCAGGCAAATGCTTGAATTGATGTTATGATGGGAGGCGTTTAAGGATGAATATGGCTAACCAACAAATTTTTACTACATTAAGCACTACAGATTCTCCATATTTTGATGACAAAAAACGTCCAACCAATAAAAAGAAGAGTGCATATCTCAACTTGCTACCTTCATTCCTCCCTTACTCTGGCGGCAATTTTGAATTTAAAATTCATATACCCCAGATTCAAAATTCAAAAACTTGTTCAGTTACCCAATTATTTTTCTTCAGACTTTCAAATTACGCTGTCATCAGAAATAACTTGCAGGACATATGTATCCTTACATTACTTGTAACATTACTGTTCTGTTGAATTAAATCCTTCTATTCCATAGACATTACTACATGCATAGTTGTTACGTCAGTAAATGCTTACATCTTTTGTTTGGTATGGATCCTACTAAGGGACGACGTCAAAAGATCGATGTCGGATAAAAAAAACTTAATTCTTTTAGTTTTTTCCCAAAACCCCCCACCCTCCACTGAAACTTAATTGATAAATATTGATCATGGCGTCAGAGTGCATTCACCATTAAATACAAATTGATAATCAGACAGTAGTATGGCATAGCAGTTGGTTGTAATAATGAAGCGAAATATACGCATGCGTTTCAGGGTTCTGCGCATGCTCTAGGTCCATGACCTGAAATGGACCTCATTTGACGCACATATTTACACTCCGACCAAACCATTTTCTCGTCTTGGATGGTTTTTTTCATTTTCTGTTATTTTTGTCTATGATTGGATAGAAAAAAAAAAACGAACTGCAAATACTCCAAGGTTTTTTTGACTTCATTAAAAAATATAATTGTTTTTGTAGGATGTAAACTTTTTGAGGTCAACCCGCCCCCCAAACTAAAGCAAATAAGTTTTTTTTATCCGACATCGATCTTTTGACGTCGTCCCTAATTCCATAAAGGCTCCATAAATTGGCTTGGCATCTGCAGATATTTGATGAATAAGAAATTGCCATACAATTGTGTGTCTTAAGTCATCACCTTGATTACACAAGTCTTTATTTCTCTATAATGCTTGCAATACATGCTCATTTCACTAGTACATTTAGTCATTTGTACTTTTGTATTACATTCGATTTGCTACAATTAGTGAGTACATATAGTTTATTCAAACTCTATTTTTATTATATTTTGTTTTGGCTTACAGCAAATTTTTTCTACACAAATACTTCTATCATGTTTAGTGTATATTGACAATCCCAATAAAACAAAAAGCCTTAATTATTCATTCCTTTTTCTATATTATTGGTAATGTATATATTAATCACTTTGTACTGTAGCATCACCAAATAACCTTTGTGTCTGTGTCTGATTTAAACAGGTTTCACCATAGTGTATTATCGACACGAACCAGCTCACGACCTGGGCTTGATGTGTCTGTTTTTTGCCAGCTAGGTTTTTTGTTCTTCATAAAATGAAGACCCTGACATCGTTTATTATTCCAGTGACAGAAATCTGCTTTTTAAAAACTCTTCATGCTTCCTGGTGTTTATCGTTACTGTAATGTATTTTCAAGAGGAAA